ATTCAACACTATTTGCTGTACCTGCAATCTAGCTAGGGGGTTACCCATTTTAAACCCTCTGCGTCTATGTACTCTAAGACCCATATCAATTGGCTCTGGTTTCTACAAACCAGTTTTTCTTGATATACAATTTTACATATACCGACCTAGGACTACTTTATCCTCGAGGTAAACCTGGCAGAGCCTGCAGTATTCCCACTTTATATCACACCTAGCCTGCGCTTCAGTTTGGTATGCATAGACCGAAGTCCACCACTTGCGACTCAGTTTGTCCTATTCTGGAAGTGTGTGGTGCTGGATTAAGGTCATTCCCTACAGTTAATTCCCTAGCTTATACTTTCTCCTGCTTTTTTTCTACTATTTAACCCTAGTTTTTAGCTAAATTCTGCTATCCAAACCTACTTCTGCCCTTGTAGAGTTTACTCAAACCCCAGAACTTACTTCACAGTATATCCCTAGTACTTTAGTAACTTGGTTCTCTTTACCCAGACTTTCAATCCAAATAGCCTAGTATGTGTCATTTATTTTTCTCCGAGTTTGACAGCAGCCTAGTTGCTATAGGCATTTCTTTTTTCATCCAGTAGCAGGGCCCCATCCCGGTTCCCATACTTCCAATCTAGATGGCCTGGTAACTATGCACTTTTCCTCTGTTCTAGACAGGTACCCCGAACCTTGGTGGACCTTTCACATTGCCACTAAGCCACATGTATCATAGCTTCTTCATCTCAGGTCCTAGATTCTCTTTCCTATTGCAGCTGTCTGGTTGGTGTGGGTGCATCTCTAACACCCCATATTTTGTCTAGTTTAGTTTACCAGGTTTGGTTTCTTGGATCTAATCTTTACAGTAGCTCTGTCGAAGATTTGTGCTACCTCTCTACTTGGGACTTGCCAAGCGAGCTTCCGTATTCACAGTTCTCCAGATTTACACAGCCCAGAGATTTATCTTGTATTTGCACCACCCTAATGTCAGTTTGCATCTCTTTGTATAATATTATACAAATGCTCCAGACCTCCTAGTCTTGCTGGTATGACTGTAATTTTAGATATCCTATCCCAACTGATCAAACAAATACAGTTAGCCATAACACAAGCAGGATTTTTGAATTTTCATCACTGGTGGGATTCGAACTCTTTACCTGCTACTTGGGGGGTAATAACTTAACCACTTCGCTATGTTGCCACACCCCCACTTGGTGATTATATAGAGGTCTGACTGTATAATAAAACTATAAGATATAAATAGTTTTTATTAGTTATTATATTTAAATCAATATAAATTAATATAATTAAAATATTTTATTATTTTAGATATTTGATTATTTTAAAAAAAGATAAGAACAAAGATTTAGAATAATTAAAACAAAATTATATATCTTTACTACGAGAATAAACTAGTCCTAAGGGGCTTTAGTGGTAGTTAGGCAGTAATAAAAACAACACGATGACGTAAAGTCGATCAGAGGATTTAAATAAGGGATCTACAAGCAAATCTTAGATATGGCAATTGGTAAGTAACTATAGATAAAAATAGATATAGTGAAACCTTTAAATAGGCAATAACTAAAGTTGTACATGTAACCAATTGTACTCTCGTCAATGTAACAAAGTCAAGTGAGATCAACAAGACCAAGCTGGCGCTTGATCCAGATTGCAAATAAAATGTGCCAGACCTCAAAGTAGTTACCTTAATATTTAAAAAAAAAAATTATATATCACATCTATAGTATTTAATACCAGTTATATAAAAATTTGTAAAACATATAAATCAAAGCAATTTTTATCAAAACAAAAATTACAAATTAATATTAGAGTTAGAGTTAAAACCTAGAATAGAGCAGAAGCATAGCTTATATCAAAATTTCATAAAGAATTTTTTTATTAGCACCTCAAAGATAGTTTTATAGATAAATTTTTGAGTTATAAACACTTTTTAAAAAAATAAACAAAAATTTTGTACTATATTAATCTTTATATTATACTGCAGTTTATAGCAGAATTTACAGTGATGTTAAATACTAGTGGTTTGATTTAACAATGTTAGATTAAAAAACTTTTTTCTAATATTTAATTTAAATTTGAAGTTTTTATATTTTAGATTATTTTTCAATTTTTGCTATTTTAAAATTAACAGATATTATTCAAAATTTAAAAATAATATTATTTTTCAATTAGTATAATTTTGTAAAATATAAAATTTTAAATTTGCATATTAATTTTATATTTTGATTATATAAATTTAAGCAACTAATAAAAATAATAACAGAAAAGAAAACTATTAATTTTATATATAAATATTGTTTCAATTATATGAATTTCAAGCAAAGAATAAAAAAATAACAAAAAAAAGAAAAATTAGCTATAAATTTTAACCAAAGAATAAAAAAATTAAAATAGAAAAAATTAATAATTTTACATATCAATACTGTTTTGATTATATAAATTTCAAGCAAAGAATAAAAAAAATAAAAAAATAAAAAAATTTAACAATTTTAACATTAATTTTATAATATGCATCTATATTTTTTATGCATAGTAAATTATTTTTTCAATAATAGTAAACTTTAGTATTACAATTAGTTTTTGATAATAGTAGCTATTTTTTGATTTGTTCTACTTAAACCAATTGCTTTTTGGTAAAAAAGTATTTATTTTATTACTATAATTTTTTTAAAAAAAGATTTTAATTTAGTGTTAACATTTATTTAGTTTTAATAATTTATTTACTCATTTGCTTCAAAATTTTTATTAAATTCCTATAAATATAATTTGATTGAGGATTATAACAAAGAGTTTTGTTTAAATCTAGCTTGCCATAATAAAATTGTGTTGCCCAAGAGAACCATATCAAGGTCAGAATAATAAAAAGCTAAGCTTACTTTCTAGATACCAGTTATCAAGAATTCCAAATTTGCATACAATTTGATAACTATTATAGTCAGGTTTTTTCTAAATAATTTGCAAGACAATAATCTTTTTCTTGTCAATATCAGGTATATAAATTTTTACAAATTTATCAGGTTCAAATATTTATTCACATAGCAATAATAAATCTAGATCTATAAAATTGATTTTTAATGATTTTTTATTAATATAAAAATAAGATTCACCTTTTTTCAAGTTTTTCCTGTCCTTTGTGTTCAATTGCTTGATGTGTACCACAAATTGCTTTATAAAAATTTTTGATTTTACAAACTTGAGTTCCCAGATTATTTATGTTTTCTTTAAGCAAATGAAGTTTCTCACCTATACCAATAGTAAGTATTTTGAAAGTATGAGTAAACCAATATTTAAAACTTGGATTATATGACAAGTTAGGATTTTTCAATATATTTAAATACTCATTATAACGATTTTTATTCATTAAATAATGTTTGATTAATAAAAGTTTGAAGTATTTGCTTAAAAGACTCACAACTTAGAAAATCGAAACTGTGGATCCATATAAATTATGTAGAAGAAAGAATTTTACTAACTATAACCGGTGGTGATCATCACTAGTGTATAATTAGCCAATAAATTTGCAGGATTAGGTGTAACGTGCAAATCAATTTGTATAACAAAAAGAATATTTTTTTAAAAAAAGTTAATATCTCAAGAATTCACCTATGAAACTACCTTCAATGCTCTAACAAAAAAAATTCCTTGCTAAATTTTGCATATATTTAATACCCTGCTAAAATCCTAGGCCTTGCCCTAACCCTAAAGCGAATAAAATAAAATCTTTTTTAGTTTACTATTATTGGCTAATTAATACTGGTGATGATTACCACCAGTTATAGTTAGTAAAAACCTAGAAGAAATTCAATAAAATAATATAAAAGTCCAATAAAATATAAAAAAAATTCAATCAAATAATATAGGAGAAATTCAAAAAATTAATCAACTTAGGATTTTTATTGCATAAATCAGAATTTACAAATAAAATACGTATATACTTTCATATACTTTTTTGCATATCAATTAAATACATAATATTATATCATGCAATTTCCATTATATCGATAAATTTAGTTTATAATAATATAAATACATCATGGTTTGATCTGGGTTGTTTTTCAATCAGTGGAGATTAAGAAATAACAGTTGTCAATTCATGATCAACAAATTCCAAACATAACGCATAACAAAAATAATTGAAAACAGATGTTTAAATTGATCTTGGTGAACTAATTAAAAATGTCAGGTATAAAAGTTTACATTCAAGAATCAATAAATTGTTCTTATATCTCCAAATGTTAATGCTCTAACCTTAAATTTCTACCTTCGAATGCTTGGTTGATTGTTATGCCTAATTTCTTTTTGGGTATTACCAGCACAGTTGTATTTCGACCTTATAGGAAAAAGACTATCTGATTGGCTCATGTAAAGCAGTTATCGGGTAGCTTAAGTTTAAATACCTTTTTATTCATCATTTCACTAATAAAACATTATTACAAACATCAATTATAGCTGTAGAAGAGTACAATCTCAAAAGAACTTAAATCTGACATAATTTAGGCCATTTTTAGTTTATTTTTAGGTTAACGTCATCTCCCGCTTCATGCCTTCCCCCAAAAATTAAACAAGCCAATCACAACGCAGTATAAACTTCATTAATCATGTGATTAATGTTGATCAATAAGATTTGATCAAAAATTCTTAAGACTATATGTGTTTGTTTAAATCTCCCTCATGCCTGAGCCTAAATATCGACGTTAACCTAAAAATCAACTAAAAATGGCCTTACTTAGAAACAAAAGGAAGAATATATTGCCATTTGTTGACCCATACAAATTGTACAGTAGTCAGTGAACATTTAAATTATTATTTGGCAAACTTAACCATAGGAAATGAAATATTACATATTAAACCGCATATACACTCAGTATTCAGGTCATTTCTGCACATGTGCCATTCATAGTTATATTTTCATTTTCATTTACTTAATAACACTAATTATATATATGATTTGATACGTAATATTATGACTATCCAGGGGTTAAGTTCGCCATAGTTATAACTTAATATTCACTTATTATCTTAATTATTTCACACTGATAAATAATTTGATTTATATTATTTTTTACATTGTTACAGCCAAGGGAGAGACTTGTTATCCACTTAGCCAATTTAACTGAGAGCCATAATCATTAACAAGAAATGAACTGACTAATTTATTATCACAAACGGCACTAGAAAGTATCAAACAAATATCTTGATATTGTGTCCCAGACACACTAACAATACTAATACACTTATTTCCTTAACTACTTAGCAAGTTCCAAACTTACTAATAGT